CGTGCGGCGCGTTGGAGGGTGCACGTCATTGATCTTCTGTGTGCGCCCACCGCGCCCCTCTGTCCTTGCCTGCAGATGCGCAGCACCAGGAAGGTGTCGGTGTGGCCGGTGGCCTTCGTCGGCGGCCTGCGCTATGAGTCGCCCAAAGTGAACGCCGCGGGCAAGGTCTACGGCTGGAAAACCGTGTTCGACCCGCACCGCCCCTTCGCCATCGACATGGCGGGGTTCGCCGTGAACCTCCGGCTGATCCTGCAGCGCTCCCAGGCCTACTTCAAGCTGCGGGGAGTGAAGGGGGGCTACCAGGAGAGCAGCCTGCTGCGGGAGCTGGTGACCCTGAACGATCTGGAGCCCAAAGCTGCCAACTGCACCAAGGTACCGTCTGCTCCTGGGGCGTGGGATGGGAGGGCACAACGAGAGGACAAATGAGAGGCTGCCACGGACCTTGGAATATAGCGGCTTCTCCTCCCTACAGCTTTTCCTCCTTGTTCTATTACCTTATATATCGTTATTATTTTCATGATTAGCTTCCCTGTGGTGTTGCTAGTGCCCCAGGTGAAATGTAGGTCATTTGTTCTAAGTGAGTCCTGGAGAAGGTTTGGAATACGGTGCTGAGCCGGTTCAGACTGCCCAGGAAAAGGGAGCTTCCCCCTCCATCCGGAGCGCAGGCTTGGTGCGTGCTGCTGCCCAAGGGAAACACGGCTTTGCAAGCGTGCGCCGGCTCCCACTGCGCCGCTTCAGCCCCAAGCAGAAAAAAGCCCTTTCCTGAATCCTTTGACACATCATATGTGACAGTGGCAGGTCTAGGGAGCTGCGTGTTCCCGCGAGGTTGGTGCAATGGGGCTGTATCCTGTTCTCTGTTAGTGCCCGGGGAGGAGAGCGCCCTTGCGAACGGCTCCGCCCTCACAGAGCCGCAGCTGGAGCCCGCGCACGAGGCGGCCCAGCAAAGGCCTCAGTAAATGAGGCTTGTCTGCTTGCAGCTGCTCCTGGATCTGCTCCGCTTTCCGGGGGTTACGTGGAGGTGGCTTCCCTCGGGGGCAGCAGCATTTCGGCAGCGGAACCGGCTCTGGGAAGGGAATAAGTCGCGGCGGGGGGACGGAGGAGAGGGAGGCCCCAGGAAATGGCGCAGCGAAGGCAGGGTGCTTTGTTCCTCCTGTAGCAATGAGCCGCCCGCGTGCTACAGAAACGCGAGGACTGAGCAGGAACCGTTTTGCAGATCCTGGGCTGAAAACTGTGGAGCGTTGTCATAGCAACGCGAGGGAACCCCCGCGAGGCAGGAAATGCCAGTGCAAACAGGTGAAGGGGAGCAGGGAGCGGAGGAAGGCTGTAGGAACACGCTAACCAAGGACCAGGGCGAGGAACCTCATCTCTAGGGAAACCTGCGTTGGGTTGCGCAGCGGTGAGGGAGCAGGCTTACGTTAGTGAAAAGGGTGATGAGCCTTTCGAGGAAGACGGTGGATAACTACAGGGAAGGAGCAGGTTAATGTCCCAAGACAGTATACTGTAAAATGGGTAATTTCTGCACACTGAGCATTTTGGATTTCGCTAAGCCTGGCTAAATGAAGTTTTATGCAAACCTCTTTTGAGCTGTGAATGCACCATTAGGCTCCAGGGTAGATGGTTAAATTGCGCTATTGATTTAATGGGCAAGAATATTTGTTAGTGCAGTGAAGAGGTGCAGCTAATGACTTCTTTTGGTTTCTTTAGATTTTAGTCTGGCATACGAGGACTGAAAAGCCTGTGCTGGTGAATGAGGGGAAGAAAGGATTCACAGATCCCAATGTGGAAATCTGACTGTGCATGGCTGAGCGGAGACCAACATCAGGTATGAACTAATTCATTTGAGCTGCAATGAGAAGGAACAAAAAAAGGGGAAACGCTGGCCAGTGATAGGAGAAAGATCCTGTTAAACCTCTCAAGGCCATCGAGGAGGCCCTGTGCGGGGCACACGCCGCACACAGCGGCCACAAAGGCCGTGGCTCTGGGCGCTGTCACTGCTGCTTCTCCCTCCCACCGGTTCCCTGGCAGCCGTGGCCACAGCAGCTGGGTTTGGGAGCCCTCCAAGGGGCAGCGAGGCAGAAGGGTGATGCGAGTGCTTGTCGCGTCTCTGTTGCAGGAGGTTTCTTCATGCGCAGCCTGCGAGGCTCCTCTCCACAGCATCCTGCCAGCAGTAGCCAGGCCCTCTCCCGACCGCCGAGAGTTTCATCGTACTGAAATCAAGCAACACTGCATCCACAAACTCCCCGGCATCCCCTTCGTCCCGGACTCTGAGCAGAGCCAGATGCTCTGGAGTTGGAGAAAAAGCACAGCAAAGACAGGACTGACGTCGACTTCAGTACGAGCCCAGCAGGACGCGGCGCTGGGAGAGGCGCGCAGGGCAGGATGCCCTGAGGAGGAGGCCCGGCTGGAAGGGCAGTCTAGGCTGCGGGGGCTGCTTTCCCAGCACCTGAACGCGAGGGTGAGGACGCCCGCAGCAGCGTGTTGGCCCCCGGGGACTTGTTTTTCTTGAGACACACGTACCTTGTGGCTATGTGTGCAACAGCCTAAGCAGCTCTCTGTTCACGGAGGGGACAGCTGCCTTCTGAGATGGCACCTTAGCCCTTAATTTTAAACTTACTTTGATCAGTGTTTATTTCATTGCACAAGACAGGAAGGTTTTAGGGGAGGGTGAAAAGCAAGGCAGGTTAGAACAAACCTCTAAGTATTTCTGTTCTCTTTCTAGCCCCTCTTTTCTCTTCAGTAGCTTCATGGCTTGGAGGGCATTTTGACTTATCTCCCTGTTTCTGGATCGGGTTACACTCACAGAACATGGTTCTCTATTCACACATGCTAAAATAACTGGAGGTGGCTTTCAGTGAGATTGGTGTGGTCGTACATGGTAACAGTTCGTCTGGGCCCAGATTCTGGTTCTTTCTGGCCCTAATTTGTTTCATGTGTGGGGTTCTCTGAAAGGTGCTCCTACGTAAAGCCAAATTTCCCTGCTTTAAAAAAAACAAACTGGTATAGCTAGGGGTTAAGTGATAAAAGGGGATTTTAGTGCATTTAACATTGAAGTGGAATGTGTCCTTCAGCCCTAGCCCCTTTTTCAGGGCCATGCCATACCACTACCGAGCTAGTGGCGTGCAAAGCCAGCCTGGAGCAGGCCGAGAATTTACCTCTGATGGATAGAGCAGCGCCCTTGTAGAAGGGATCCTGTGCTTAGTGCCCTGTTTCTTCAGCACCTGGCTTGAGGTAGGTTGAAAACTAAGTAGAGCGTTAGTCGCCTCTTCCCTGTTCCTGCCATCGAGGATCTGAGAGCTTTGATGGAGGGGCTTTCTCTGATGAAACTGTGTTTTGCTCCTCAGTGAGACACGAGACAGAGCAGTGCAGAAGAGGAACCTGGGTGCTACCACCTTGGTTGGCTCAGTATTTGAGGTTGACAAACTTGCTGAAGAAGAAATTAAGGTATAATTTACGCCTTCCCCCCACCTCCCATCCCTCTACAACAATCTTCCCTCCTCCTTCATAGCTGTTTTAAACTTTTGATCAATCTACACTGCCCCAATTCTTTCAAAAAGGTCTGAAGCACAATTTTACCTTTGAGTTAAAGGAAAATATAATTCTGGAAAGACACTGAGCTTTTTTACCCCTTAACATATACAATTATTAAATACCATAGAACTGATTGTTAGCTTCACAGTGCAGAAGTCTCCCTTTAGACTAATGACATAATCTATTTCACATTTAAAAAAAAAAGATTTTTGGTAAGTCATTTTCTCCTACTGTGTTTCCAAATCATTGGAGGAACGTTGCATCCTTTAGATCCCCGTCACGGAAGCCTTGCTATGTAGCCCTTTCAAGAATGTTCTGTTAGAGGCAACGGCTGAAACGCTGCTTGGATAGAAAGCACTCGGTGCTACTTGTCGCCAGCTGCACTTTGGGAACAGGTATCATTATCTTGTATTAAGGCAGTCGCTCTCTGCACTCGAGCAGATTTATTCTATTGTAGTAGCACCCCAGGTTCAGCTCAGGCTGCATACCCTAGGGTGGAAAGAGACACTTTTAAAGGAGTACAAAGTTTTCATGCGACTCAAATAGTTTCCAACTGACGTCCTCTTCTAGCTGCATGTTTAGTTCCACTAATGTTAGTTCTAGTCCCTGCTGGGTTGCAACCTTCCCTCCTTGGAAGGAAATAACTTTCAGAAGAATGCAGAGGACCAAGTCCAAAACACACCCCTGCATAAATGCTCCCCTCTCCTCAGAGGGCTGGTCACACATCTTGCATGGAGGCTGCGTGGGCCTTGGGAGCAGACGTATATAGGTTTAGTAAGACCAGCTCTGGCCAGGATGGAGTGTATTACAGCTGCGCTGTCTGTTCTCAGTTTTAAATAAACTGTATTTAAATTTGTTAAATAAAATTAAGTATGGTTTCTAAGAACTAGAATCCCATGCAACTCCATTAGCAGAGGCAGTGCATGCGTTTGGTGTTTCTCTCACTGCCTGAATCCTCAGGTTGCTGGAACAGAAAACTAGAGGGGCTGAGTGACTTGTCACGGGTTCTGGGCAGATTCTCAGCTTCCTCTCCCTGATAGGATGGCAGCTCCTCAGTGCTGCAGAGCTGGTGAGTTCAGCAAAACATTGTGTTTTCCTAAATCACTTGATTCGCTGTCAAGGCACAGTTTTTTTAAAAAAAGTAAAAAAACACAGTGCTGCCTCTCCCCATCCCAATTTCATAGCAAGTTTAACTGGAAAGTAAGTTACCCCCATGTGCAACTCTGTATGTAACCCCTTTACTTCTTTCATAGCCAAAAATCTGATCCCTCGTCATTTACAAATGGGGAATTTCATCTTGGGGTGCTTGAAAATGAGAGTGGGGTAGAGGAAGGCTCGAAGACTAACCAGTCCTTTTCCCCTCCTGCATCTCCTCTTTGAAGTTCTCCCTCCAGGCTGACCTGAGCATAATTATGACTCTGACAAAGGACAAAACACAGTTGACTTTTTAGAACTTTTTTTTTTTAATTATATCTTTCTGAGAGAGAGACAACCTCCATATTAAAACTCAGTGGAAAAAAACCTTCAAGTTAACTCATTTGACATCCAACCTGGCTTCCAACAAGCGAACAAATAGTGGCCTCTTTGCAGAGCAAGCTGTTTAATTCTGCCTGGAAGCGCAACACAGTGGTTTTCCACACCTGGCTACTCACATGTTCATCACCTCTTTTCTCCCTGTCTAATTATAAAAAGGAGGAGGCCAGTAGTAACACATTTGTAAAGTCACTGGAAAGCTGCGCTCCGTCTTCAGTTCAGGTGGCTTCTGTTCTGTCTCTGTCTCCTGCCTCCAGCACCTTTTTCTCCCCCACGATCACTGGGCTGTCCGTAACATGCAGCCACCCAGGCTCCGTGGTGCAGGGAGATGAGCTTCCACATCCATCAATGAAACAACAGGCTCTGCTTCCTGGGGGCCTGTTCTCTCTTACCTGAACTTACTGCCAAAGGGCAAATCCTTAACCTGGGTCTAGTGGAAACTATCGTGCCCAAGTGCCCGGGCCATCGTGTCCCTAGACATGCAACCATGAATATCCAAGATGAACCAAACATGGAAAAGAAGCTCTCATCAGTCCACATACTGGGTCCTTCCTAAATAAGGTATGTCAACAGACTGTATTATGCGTCCTGCAGTTCGCTCTTCAAAAATGATGATCTGTGGAAGAGAAAGATATGCAAAGTTCCTACATACACAGGCTGAGCCACTTGACTTTCTAGGGGGAAATGGCACATGAGGGTTATTTAAGAGATCAGTCGATACAAGCTTTAACAGTTATTATGATGCTACAGTACTGCATGATGCGGAAAATGAATTAGCATCAAATGGGGTTAGTCTTGGTTTTGAACTTGATGCTGTGCTTTGAAGTTTAGCTGGCATCCTCGTCAAGCCTTAGTGGCTGCCAGAGCCATCCTCTCAGCCAGCACCTTCCCTGTCCTTCACACAGCTTGGGAGGTAACGCTCTGCTTTCTTGGCTTTTAAGTGGATTTTCAGCTGCAGATGAGCAGTTAACGTGCAGCACACTCCTACGTTTTGAGACATGCAAACAAGGGAAGAAAAAACAAACAAAAAAACACCTAAGCCTCTCACCTCGTTGCTCCCTTTCCATAACCAGGGGGCAGGAAGGTAGAGTGTTTCCTGAGGTCCAATTTTCCAGTAGCGGCCTAAGTTCCGACTGTTGACAAACACAACTCCTTTTTCCCAGCCCTAGAATCAGGACAGTACACACAATTACTGATGCAGCTGTATTACCTCGTTAGGATCCCCACAGGAAATTAACTCTACTTTCACACTTGCATTATTTCAGGCCACCTGCTGCAGACCCAAGCGAGCAAAACTGCTCTTCTGCTGAGAAAGATTTTCAACCTCCACATTTGCAAAATGGCAACACTAATGCAATCTCTTAACTGTATTGCTGCAGCAGGATCTAGAGATTTCAGTCAGGTACCGGGGATCTTGCTCTGTTTGTTGAGGAGGAGATGGTCTTTGCCTTAAAAACATTGCGTTCTCAGCAAAATGCAATGGAAAAGAAAAAGGACTTGCCTGTAGCTTCAAGAAAGTGTCCTGTGGCTGATGCTCTATCCACAGCCTTCCGCGAAAAAAAGCTGGCCCAACGAAGTAGTCTGGGACTGCACTCCATCCAGCAACGTGTCGCAGGCTGCAAGGGAATGACCAAGCACAGCTAAGAGCAGGGAAGCACCGGGGACACTGCGAGAGCACTTCATGCTCGTGTGGACAGTCTCTTGCAGGGCTTCTTGTTTCCTCTCACGCCAAAACACCAAGCAGTTGCTTCCTGCTGGTAGTTGCTGCTGCTAATATTTACCCTGCTGCAAAGGGACAGGCTGTTTAGCTGCTGTAAACGTTCCAGGCCAGCACCTCGCTGGTCTCTCGCCTCCACATAAGGTACCTGTTTGGGGGTACCTGTCTCAGTCTTCATTACCTTGTGCTTGGCACATCAGTGAACTGCGAGTCTCTTACAAAAAGGAATGTATGGGGCTATCACCATCTCCAGTGCTTCACGGCAAAGTAAAAAATCTCTGCCTAATGCTGAGTGGCAGAGCGCCCTTCCTTCTTCAAATGCTAATGCCATGGTGCAAGGTTTAAATGTATATGGCCTGCACAGGCTGCAGGAAGGGCTTTAAACATATGGTAAGGCTTTTTATATCCACTGAGAGAGGCTTGTTGACCAACCTCTGCTGGATTTCTTCCTCGGTCTTTCTTGAATTAAAGCAAAATAACTTAAAAAGCATGGAAGAGAGGAAGCCATCTGGACTTGTTAACGTACTATTAGTAGCTTCCTAGAATTAATCCTTCCCTTGTGAGTTGCAATTATCAAATCCATCAGCCAGACTGCTAATTCCAAGAAAGATCCAAACTTCTCCAGCCTCTTGGTAGGTTGGCACACAGTGCTTCAGCTAAGCCACGCTTTTACCTGCCTGATCTAACCCAGCTACACAGGGAATGAGGAAGCCTTTAAGTCCCCCACAGTGAGAGTATATTTTGCCCCTAAATAACGGTATAGATAAAGTGGTGCCATTTTCTGTACTACTTTGGGCAAAGCGACCAGAAAGGGACTTAAGAGTGCAGAGGTTTGCCTGCCTAGTGCCTTTCTGATAATTGAACTACTAGATTTTGTACCTTTGCAAAATAGTTTCAAATGAGGAAGAAAATTTAAAGAAATCAAACAAACCTTTTCATGAATCCAGGTTTCATCTCCAGACTGTAAATCTTGAAGTTCCTCAAGGGGGTTTTGTTCAAGAAAATGTCACCAATTAAGCCTGCAAGAGCAATGGGGGTAATGAAGAGTTGAAAAGCAGCTAAAGCTGATAGATTTTCCTATTTGAACACGAGGAACAGCAGGAGATGGAAAGCAGCCACATTCTGCTATGGAATTAGAGTCCATATGGTCCCATTGCTCATCCAGATTGAGAGGGGAAGAACATTACTATACTTTGGCCTCTCCACTCTCTCCTCTGCTTTAACTCACTAAGCTGTTAAACATCCTCCAAGCAGAAAAGATTGTTGGCACACACAGCAGATTTTTTTGTTGTTGTTAATGTTGTTTTTTTACTTAGCTGCCCGTATATGGATTTTTCTAAAGTAGTAGATCAGTTAATTTTCTAAGAGTAAAATAAACATGGGGAATCCAGCCCCCTAATTGCAGGACTGCTGCTGAGATTGCCTAGAAACACAGAGACTTTATTCACCTTTGCTGCAGTAAAATGAAATTAGTCCACTCACGTGCTTAACTCTGTATACTTTCTGCACACAATTCCTCACTGAAATAGGATCTTGGCATTTCTACAGGGCTTAAACTCAGAGAACTGTCTGGGACATTGTGAGACTCCAAGAAAAGAAGGACTGACCTTTCCGCTGTTCATTCAAAGACAGGCCATAATTGACACGACCACGGTTCTCTACCAGAAGTCTTAATTGCCTGAATCCCTGTAAAAAAATGGAGCAGCTAGAGAAATGCATCAGGTGGAAGGCTCCCTCTTGACAGGTATGTCTCTTTAGAGCTCTAGGTTCTGTTATCCACATAGTACTGCCGTGAGTGCTCTCCACCTAGGAAGGACCTACCTGTCTTTCAGGAAGGGAGAGCTCCACTGTGTTGTAATCCAGCTCACCAACATACATGGTGTTCACAAACACCTGCAGAAGAAAGCACAAGAAAGCAGAGCAATTCCTCAGCAGGCAGACTAAGATCCTATGCTATGCAGGTTACTGGAACTCTCTTTGGGGCGGAAACTACCTCTGCTTGGGATGAGAACTCAGGATCAATATATGTGGGGGAAAAACTCACAAACCACAGTTCTCAGAACATTCAATACTGTGACATTTAAAGATGCTTTAAGCTTCAGTAGACCTGAACCTCAAGCCAAAATTTACAAATGATGAGGGCTTGGACTTAGTTGTGAGGTGAAAGAGCGAATCATAGTTCTGATGTAAGAAAATGCTCCATTTCAACTCACAGCTAGCCCATGTCCTGCCTGGTTGCCAAGCCCCAGGCACTGCCATTTGTGTGAGCTCAGTCATAGCTGCCTCGCGTGCCTCACCTGTGCTCGGTCACGAATATGGTCCCTCGAATGCAGGTGTCCACCACCAAATATGACAGTCTCGTAGAGCACGTATCCGTAGGACTGCCCGCTGCTGTCGTTCAGAGGCAGGTTTTCCATGTTTATTGGAAACTCGGATTTAATGGGCTGCAAAGAAGACACAAGTTTAACTGCAGACACAGCCTCTCGGTGCTCACAGGCCACAGAGGGACGTTCACTTTAGATAGGTGGTTCCACTCTCCCACAGATTGCATTTACCCTGGAGGCCTCCAGAAGCCCATTCCATTCTGAATTATTCTGTGGTTCTATAAAAACTACAGCAATGAAGACAAACGTACCAAGAAAGGGTGCCAAGGACTTGCAGGACTAGCATTCCCAAAGAACAGAAGTAGTAGGAGTAAAACGGGTCAGGTTAAAAAAAAAGGGTTTTCTTCTTTGAATATCCTTGACAAATGTTCCCTACCCTTACACTAATGAGGTAACATGCCAGTGCACTAATGGCCTTTCCCACCTAAGAGGCAGTGAGTCTTTGTGCTGAAATACACAGAAATTGATAGTACTACCTGTAAGAGAGATGGGATCACATCCCAGAGAGAGATATATTGATGCAACAGGATGGCACCGTATGATGCCTTGCTTTCAATCATGGGAGGCAAAGGCAGAGGCTGCCCTATGTTGCAAAAGAAAAGGAAAAAAAAGAGATACATTTAGGAATTATTTTCGATACAAAAGACAAACCAAAACCGAAAAAGACCCACAGGTTTAAGGCTCCTCTAGACCTCCTTTGACCATCTCCCTCCCATCTTTAGGAAAATGCTCCCAGCCAGTCAACTGAGCAGAGCCACAGGGCTCCAGCAGAAGGGCCGCTTTAAAAAAGCCTGTGAATTACCACTGTAGGCTAAAACAGTATTTTGGCTCTTGGATTTATAATTACCAATGATCATGCTGAACAGCTGTCGGAGCTTGAAAAATTTGGACGTGTAGTCTCCAGCCTCTGTCAGCACAGCATCATAATCTGAAAAAGCAGCACATATGTTCTTAAAGACACACAGAGTCTCTAGAACAGCATCCACTCATATTGTCACCTTAAGAAATAAGAGCCCAAAACACAGTATTCTTGGTGCTGTATTATGGAAATCTACACCCTTCCATCTGTGTGAATGTGGCTGGGCCAGCATGGAGTTACTTAATTTGGAGAGGACCATTGTAGAGTAACATCCTCAGAGGGACCTAATCTGCACTGTCTATGATTTCACACATGATAAATTCTAAATATAACAATTCTAGCAAAGGACTATTGGGGTGAAAAGAGCTTTAAGGTACAATTTGACCTGATAAACTTCAAAAACAAAATAGTAGCTTCGATCATCATCTTTCCTTAGAAAGAAGAGCCAGTATGGAGATAACATGAAGTAAAGCCATCATCTGCAACTTCTATTCCCAATTCAGAATGAGGGGCTCCTTCACATCCTGGAATGGGACTAGAAATAGGAAACACTATGGTGAGCCCCTCTCACAGAGGCATCGTGTCTGGGCTGTGCTGCAGCTTGCCCCTGCACGAAGCGCTGTGCTGATCGTGTCTTAGTGCTGCTGCCACCTGCGCCAACCCGGGGCAGTGCCAGCTGCACTGTCACCACAGCTGCATAGGAACAGCAGGGACAAAAACTCACCGTAGCTGGTGACATCTGACTTGTATTCGTCAGCCTCCAAAGCACCACTCATGAAGCCAAAGTTGGTGCCTCCATGAAACATATAGAGGTTGATGGATGCTCCTAATTTGAGGATGCTGGCTACAGTATTCACCATTTCTGTAAAAGAAGGACAGTCCAGGAAGGCCAGAGACCAAGAAACTAGGCTAACACACTTCCCGAAATTTAACCAAAAGCGTGCTGTTTTTAATGGTAGCTGTTTGTGCAGCAGTAAACGCTCTCCATGTACAACACACAATTTGGTGCTCACCATCTGCATCAAAGACATAGTGAGGGCCTCCCCAGTTATCAAACCATCCAGTCCAGTACTCCATTACCATCTTGGGCTGATCTCTCTGTATCAAAACAAAAGCAAAGAATTAGAATGCAGACAGGGCAGTTCAGTGCTCATCCCTATTTTCTACAGAAGCATTGTTCCAATGTAGTTTGGACACATGGTTTACAACACAGGCTTCTTATCAAGTTGGCAGAAGAAAAAGAAAACAAAAACAGCTACAGAGCTCTGGACAAGTGCAGAACAAGCTACCGTGGGCAGCAAAGGTACTACAGACAATGCTGGATATACTTGCTTGATAGAGCTGTAGCAAAAAGACAAATAAATTGTCACTGTTTAGCTTGTGCTAGAAATCCACATTTATAAATGTCTGCTTATCAGCTACGGCACTGCCAGCTGACAGTTTGCAGGTGCACTGAAGCCACTGCTTGCCAAGGTAGGAACAGCAGACCTTAGCAGCTTAATGCCTTTTTAATGCTGCATATGGTGTTGGCAGGAAAGCATTAGCCTTTGCACAAATTAGGTCTTCATTAAAAAGGCCCTGCACACAGAGCAATTGCTTCCCATTCGTCACTGCTCGCCAGCTCCCTGCTCTCCTGTAGAATTCCAGCCTGGCCCAGAGCAGGATGCCCTAGGCCTGCCGGGCACTCCCTGTCCTGTACTTATTTCTAGCCAAGGCAGTTGTGCCCTTTACTTGACAGGGGCTTTATCCTGTGCTAAACGAAATGGCCAAGATTAGTAGCATTAGAGAAACTCATGTTTCATTAGGAGAAACAACTGCAGGTGCACGTAACAGTCTGATTGCTGCAGGTTCGGGCCAGTTCTTCATAATGTTTAATCATCAGTAAATCAGTAGCTCAGCAAACCAGTCAAAGAAGGAGCATTTTTGCCCTCTGGAATAAGAGACCATAACAAGGAAAAGGCATCCTTAAGGCAATGGATGACAGGTTTCCTATCTTGCAATTATTAAGTGTGGCAAAGGAGGTACTGGCTTCTGCTGGGCCGTGTCGTGTTTGTGTATTCAGTTTGTGGGAAAGGTGCTACTTGCTCTTCCTTTGCAGAGTTTAGGGAATATTGTAAGACCTAAAGGTGAAAGCACAAACAGCAGAAACTCTCTTGCCTTTCAGCAGGTGCTAGAGAACAGCATCCTTATAACCTTTTTCCAGTAAAAAAAAAAATGAGAAGGAAGTCCAGAGTATCTGCCAAAACCCTCCTACCAGACTATCCATACTGCATTTCTAATGCTGGCCTGGAACATCTGTAAGAACAAAGACAAGCTTTTCTGCACTCTACCTGTACTGTGTCCAGATATTTCAGGATCCCAGGTTCCAGTTTCTGAAAATTAACAGTGGCCAGTGCTATTGGAAAAGAAGAAGCTTTCATTAATTTAGACACATACAAAAAGCTCTCACTTGGAGAAGCATTTCCTTGGCATCAGCCAGCCTCAGGTCAGGCAGAGCTGTAATATCTTCTGAATCACCAAAAATCCTCCTTTGAAATTTCCCATCCAAGCCTTCACCTAGAATGCAGAACCTGGACCACGGCACACACTGGAATCCTCACAGGCCAACTTTCTAGCTTGAATATTCAGATACTTGAAAGAGCATCAGAGCACCTTATGGGGTGTCACAAGCCTTCATTAGAGGCTCTGAAGCACTTGCAGATCCTCAGATAAAAGGCACCACGTAAAGGCAAGCTTATTATTAGAAAGACATATCTGGATGTCACAGTGATCTCCCAGGCTTTGGCTGGCAGGCTGTGTCTTACAGCTTGTCATGTCTGGGGGTGGGTGACAGAAACCACAAACAGGTGAAGCAGATAGAGGCTGTAATTGGAAGGTGGAGCTGTGCTTCTGCCTTGGGCAGCATGGGCAAAGCAGCAACTGGGTTGTGCACCTGGACATCTAGCAAAGTGCTGTGTGCTCTTCAAGCAGGAGTGTGAAAAGACCCGTCTGCAGACACTGATGCACCAGTGTCCCCACCCCTGGTACATGCTCTTCGTCACACTGAAGGCATTTCTTCCAGGAGCCTCAGAAATTTCAGGAGAAATAGTGTGAGCCTATATTAAAAACTGACTTATTACAAAAGAGTTGGTATCAACCCTAGCCCTTGTTCTGTCAGACAGAGAACTTGAAACAGAATATTTACAGGAGCAAAAGCTGACTTCTCACTGTTTATGCCTTTGTTTAATAGGCTGCTCTATGGAGCATGCTAAAATGAAGGATTTGGCAGGGGCAAACAAGGTGGGAGAGCACAACAAAATAGGATTAAGCATCTGTGTAATACATCAGCTGGCCCTGAAGGCAAACGCAGTTCTGCTCCTGACACATATCAAAAGTACATCACTGAAAATGCTGCAACCACTGAATAAAGGCTAGCCAACAAGGCCAGGTCTCGAGCCCTGCCCAGGATTTTTTTCTCTGCAGAACACCAAAGTGGCTGTTCCTGGAACTAACAGGAATCCAGAAACGCTTCCCGGAAAGAAATTGAGCTGCTACTAGTAAGAAGAACAAGCAAGAGCAGAATCACTGCATTACGTTTCAACTCCTATTTGGACTCTTCTCTATTTTCCTACCCATTTCTATGGTGGATTCTGTTCTTTCCTGTGTTGGTTTCATAACCACCTTGCCACTATGTTACTTTGAGCCCTAGTTATTCCACACATTTGATTACTTGCCATGTTGACTCTAATGAATAGACTATTATGACATCTAAGAGGCAAATCGATATCAAAGAGCATGCAACACATTGGAAAGGATAATTCCAACCATGCACGAGCTCCGAGGTAGTAAACATTCCCACAGAAAATGGTGAGGTCTGGATAGGGATTTCCACACCAGCCCTTCTGAACACAAGCTCACTGGCGGGGAGAGAGTGACCCTACGTGGTCATGGCTGGAAACTGCTGCATTCTAAAAAAAAATAATTTTGAAGAGGGCCATCCGACTTGTGATGAAGGACCATGAGTTCAGACTTACTCAATTTGTTCTTCTCATGTTTCCATTTAAAAATAAGAGGAGAAGGAAGAGCAGGGAAAAGCTTTCTTTCTAGTTGTCTCTTACCTTGCTCTCCTACAAGCACATACCTCCCTCCACGAAGCCAAATGACAGCCCATTCTTGTTATCTGAAGTCATTAACATTTCCACAATCCCTCTGCTTAGCAGAGCCTAAATTAAAAAGAGCAAAGACATTGTGTTAAGACATTGTGTTAAGACATTGTGTTTAGTGTTTGTTGAGATACTTAGTGGTTAAAGTATAAAATCTCTCTTCCCTAGGGGGTAACAGAACTGGCCTTGAGCAGTTCTGTGCTCTGATGGCCTGTGACATCTCCCATTACTCCTGAAGCATCCCTGTCCAATTTTTCCAGCTTGAAGATGTCTGGAAAATCTTGCTTTGTTTTACAAAGCAGGATCAATCTCTCACTGACCCATCAAGCATCAGGATTTTATCCTTCTGTTGTCACTAAATTTAAACCTTAACAGAGGTTAGTATCTGACAAAACTCAGCTACTGAGGGAGCTGGAATTTCTAACAAACTGTATTAAGATAATTCTTTAAGGGCTGCATTATACTAAGTTTCTCCCCCTCACTTTCTTTTTTAAGTATGAGTGTAAAATGAAGAAATGAGACACCAAAATCCATCACAGGATTGCAAGTTGCAGGAGAGAACCCAGGAATAGAAACAGTGTCTGAGTCAGACACAGGTGTATGCTCAGCTAATCCCAGCTCATGTACTGTGCACGGAGGGAGGTGTGAATGCTCACTTTCATGGCACAGCGATCTTGGAAAGGGAAGATACTGCACTGAGAGGGTGAGATAAGGACAAGGCTTTTTTTTTCTTTTTTTAATGGCTTTATAAATCTCAGAAAGATTGCAACACCATAATGTAT